TTGAAAAGCTGCGATGATTGTCTTTCTACAAAAGTGAAAACTATACCCACGCTGTTGAAAATTGGGGAGGACTGCCTTTGTACAAAGTGCTGTCTTCTGTAATTAACTCTGCAGCTCCACTTGAACCATCGTTTGTGGTTAAAGTGAGTGCATGTAATCTTTGCCTTTGACCTTTCACCAACAGTTAGCTTTCTACCTTTCAGCCATGCTGAGGCTGAATGCATTCCTCAGGATAGCACTGGCAGGTGTGCTTCTCACGAGAGTTTGAGCTGGAACAACATGGTACACTCGAACTGACTCCACCTGGCCTTCATCACAGACCGTCTAGAAAACAACAGATGCTCTCTTGTGTGTGAGAGGAGGAGACTGCGGAGTGGTTTGAGCCGGTGTCTGGCATGCCGTGGCGCTCTCTTGCCGTTCACTGTCTGTTCTCTCCACCCATTGTGGCATCATCGGCCCTTTAACTCTGTGCAGATTCAGACCAGGTGTTTCACATTATGATGTATGTGGATGCATTAGATCACTGCTGTCACGTTACAGACCGTGACGGTTACTTCTTCAAGGTACTTGGAATCATTTTGGAATCTTTCGTCACTGCTAAGAGCCCCCTGATGCTCCTGTAATCTTTGTGTATATAATGTACAAGAAAACATGAAATAACCAAAAAATGATTTGGTAAACTTTTTAATATCATTCCAAATGTAAGGTTATGACTGGAGGTTTTTTTTTTTAATTATTATTTCATAAAAATAATTCGTGAATATTTGGCTGGCTGATTATCAAGCACCACGGATATTTGGCATCATTGTCAGTAATGTTGGAACAAGCATGTATCCCTGAACTGCACTTTTCATCTAAATAGCTCTTGACCAAAAAGGAAGTACTTTGAAACTTTAATTGCATCAGTTCCATAATAAATTTAGTCCCCCCCCCCCCTCCACCGCTCCCTCTAAGTAACCCAACAGATGTTTGCAAGGACTCAGTGCAGTCCTTTGTAAATGCCTCCAGTCAAAAAAACAAGAAAAAAAAAAAAAAAAACCTAAATCTGCTCATGTAGGTTACAAAAGTACCTGTAACAACAAAGTCCAGTTTTTAAACCCATTCACTGGCTCAGGAAAAGAAATGCAACAAATTGAGTTAAGGCTTGATTGCAAAAGCAAGATAAATATCTTTTAAACTTAAAATATGTGATGGAATTTAAAAAAAACAAGCAGCTCATATTTCTCCACTACACAACTGGGTGTGTCCAACATCTCCCTTTCCTTGGCTTTTGGAGCAGACAATTGGGATCTCACACACACATCTGATGTTCTATCTAAATAAACATCTACAGTCTGACATACTGCCATAAAACTGTGTGTATATACTCTCTTTAGGCCTCAATTTTTTTCATAGCACAGAATCTACCAGCATCAGTACATGTTTGGCTACAAAAACAATATAGGATGAACATATAAAATGTTTTGGTTTACAACTGCCAAAGCCATTGTAGAGTTTTTTGGTTTGACAGGACATTTCAAATGACAGTAACATTCACATTTCAAATCAGAGAGTGACTTCAATAATACAAAATTTTTTTTTGGAAGAAAAAGAAATGTAACAAGAGAAAGACGATTTTGCTTCAAATGGTCCCAATATTGCAGAAGTCATGGTGGCCAGGCGTGGGCTGGCAACTGGGTACAGCTTCTACTTGAGGTTAGTAACTCTAGCTCACATAAATTACTTCAGTTTCTAGTGTAAATATAACTGGAGGCCTCAAACCAGCAATAAGGTCCCCCCTTTTGAGCAACGAGGCAACAGATATTAACAAAAGAACACTAAATTGTGCACAAATAGCTTTAGAAGCAAATAATAAGCAGAAACAGTGTATGGTAACAGGCGTATTCTCATTAAGACCAGAGTTTGAAATCTGAAACAATAGGTCTATACAGTAACAAGCTACTCAAGAATATTTTTACACAGTAGTGTATTCACAGGCTTTTTTTCTGTGATCTAACATGTGATGCTGCTCCTGCTGTAAGTTGTGTGTCCTCAGAGGAAAGTCAAAGAGAGAATCTGAGTCAAATTTGGCAAAGTGTGCTGCAATTATGAAGCGCTGACCTGTGGCTTGGAATGATTTAAGACTGTCGTTTACTTCAACTGTGGAGTAAAGACACTTCAAATGATTAGCTGCCAAAGAAAAATATCCCAACTAAACTACAAATCATTGCACGAAGACGAAAAAACAAACAAACAAAAAAAAGAGTCAGTAATGTCTATTAAAGCTAACTTCTTTTAGTCAACAGCTTTAACCTCAGCTCCGAGAAGCTCCCAGTGAGACTAATCAGCACAAATATACATGGAGGGCTTACTCACAAGTTGAGCACAAATGAGAATAAACCCAAACGATCACGGTCAGTCGCTACGGCTTCACAAACCCAGAGAGTACTGAAGATGTCAGTGCCAGCCCAGACCTTGCCACCAAAACAACTGCTCTAATACAAATAATACTAATACTAATACTACTACTACTAATAATAATAATAACAATATGACAATGATGCCAAAGGTTTCTGAGAAAATAGACAGTGAGATACAGGTAATATGCAGATACACAACTGTTGAGTACAAGATCGCATTAAAAAGAGCCGTGACACATAAACGGGACATTGTCTTCTCTTGGTTTCTGCATACAGACGCTCCCTCGCCGTCTGTGCGTGTGTTTGAATGTGTGTCTGCCAGGCTTTTGTTGTGAGCTGATGAATGGTGCGGTTCACTCCACTGTCACAGACTTGGCCAGGTTTCTTGGACAGTCCACCTGTATTCAAACAGAAGAGGTCATTTACTGCAAACAACAGCCGTAAAAATGGAGAAGTACTACAGGGCTTCTGTGCTCGACTTAATGTGACAGACAAGCTATCAAGTACAATTTAACCAAAATCATAACAAGAACTTTCATGTACGAGCCAGTGATACGGCAGCAAAGCCTCGGTAAGAATGCTTCTCATCACTCAGACTTCAGATACTTGGACATACTTTAAATAAAAGAAATGAGTGTGGGCGTGCTGTGCACATAAATGTTTGCTTCTCAGCAGTGCAATTTGGCTCGGCCGCGAATAGTTATGGACTTAAAAACAAGCGCTAACCGGCCCGCGCTGTCAGGACATCTCTCTGAAGAGAAGTGCTCCAAAAGCACCATCAACACTGGCTATATTTACACGCTGTGCTTTCAGTTAAGCCTACTACTTTGACCTTTCACATCTTGCAAAGCTAAGGAAGTAAACAAATGTACGACAGCGAGTTTAAAATTCTGTTTAAATAGTAATCTAAAAATAGAGAAAGATACAATAATATCAACACTAATAATGGTGATCGTTCTTTGTCTGCAGTCTGCATGTGTGCACAGATTGAGGTGTGTACATGTAACTGTAACACTCACTATCACCTTCACCACACTGTTCTAAAATAAGGGAGTTTACATGCTTCCACTCAATATTAGGAGAGCTAGAAACACTAAGATCACCACATATAAACACTGAATGTTTATTTCTGGCGCTGGCTCTTGGTGCTTGTGTCTTCACAACAGTCAAGGGACGCACAGCCAGATAGTCAGCGACACAGCTTAGTGCATATAATGTGGTACAGCATCTTTTGGACAATTAATTGTTATTAACTTCACTTTATCAACTCGGATTCTATTATTATTACTATTTTCCACATTGAACAGCCAATGTAAACACTGGCATATTGTTGACTGCGGAAGCAAATGGCGAGATATTCTACTGTACTTTTGTTGCTTCAGTGACAGATGATAATAATAATAATAATAATAAATCTCATATGGCAAAACAGTCAGTTACCGCCGAGTTTGAGGGGACAGCACTTACGTCGTAACCTCGGAGGACAGCCAGGTGGAAGGACAGCAGCTGCAGCGGGATGACGCTCAGGACGCCCTGCAGGCAGTCCACACAGCGAGGCACTTTGATGTTGCGGCTAGAGTTCTTGATGGTCTCATAATCGTCTTTGTCACAGATCACAATGGGGCGGCCCTGTAAAACAAACAAAGCAAATCATCCGTCAGCGTGATCCTAAACCTGGATACGAGTCATAAAACGTTAAATCTGAAAAATACCTGCTTTTTCCCCCTCACTTTCTCAGTTGATTTTCACACCTCTTAAACCCACATCTGCTGCAGATTAACTACACTTAACCAACAGCGATGATGTCACTCTGCCCAGACCCTCTCTTGTATTTATTGAGGTGAAGGATCAGCGGTGTGGAACAGACAGGACTGTGAAAATTAACCTGACATGCAAAATATGCTGCGGTCATCAATTGTTCAAGAATCTGATTTGAACTTCAGATGTTCTGGTTCACATTTAGAGCACTAATAATAA